TATATATATACACACATACACACACACTTATATACATGAATATTTGAATATTCCCCTTAATACGGGGGAGGACACAGTAAGGTAGAAAGAAGAACACAGTGGTTTTCAAGGCAGCATCTTCAGGGAAAGATTAAAAACAAACCAAACCAAAAACTTCTGCACATTTCACTATGAAGATCAGGAAGTTCTTTTCTTCAAAGAGTGCAAAATAGTCAGATTTCTCCTCGGTTCCTTCCATTCTGAATTTGTTTTTTAAAAAAAAAAACAACCTGTGAAGCCTCTGACCATATTATCAAGAAATCTCATTGCTTGCTCTCAGATATGAATAACTTTCACCCAGAGATAGGGTTGCTTATGTTTCTTTCTTTTTTTAATAGAACCTTCAGGAAACTGAAATAACTGCAAAGGCTCTAGATAGTGCTCTGTTCTAGTCAACATAACCACCTACCATTATCAAAACATTTTCTTTAGCTTTATGATAATTTGCAAATACCTTGTTAAGCAGTTTAATTCATTCACATGTCATAGATTTGGCTCCAAACTAAAATTATCCTTGATACATATGTGGAAGGAATTGAGTTCAGTCCTGTGCTCAAAACCTTAGAAGGGACAAATCTTTGCTCTTAGGTGTATCGTTCCGGAGGCAGATGATGTTTAAGAATGTATATAAGAACAAAATAACAAAAGCAACTTAACTATAGGTGTAGCGCTATTCACATAGAAGAGATTAGGTACCTTGAGGAGTCGAAAGGCAGTCATCCAGCACGTCCTGCTTTGCTCATCTTCAGCACACAACAACCTCAGTTCCTTGGTTTCATTTCTCACTCTGTTGGGCTATAAAGTATTAGAGGGATGTCAGCTATATTCAGTAGAAAACTAACAACACTGTAAGTTTACTGCAGAGTAAAGGCAGGTACAGTATTCGTCTAAGAACTGGCCAGAAAAAGCTTACATCAGCCTGAATTAAACCACTTTCTCAGCTGGGTCCAGTAAGATAAATGTCTGTGTTTGCTTTGAAATACCTTGCAGTTCTGGCAGTTTATAGGAACAAGGTACTCAGGCCATGCTAGACCCAGAACCAAGGCATTTGGGTTTTGGTTTTTTTTACAGAACTGTGAGAAGTTTTACGAGCCCCCATTCCAAGACAAAGAACCAAAGTTTCCATAACAGATGCCTACTAAAGTCTGTTTCCATCAGTTCAGAGTCTGTCCCACAGCCGGCCTCTACTGTCTGAGTAGGCTGCTAGGAAGGAGACTACTTCACTGCTGTCAACAAAACCAGCTCCCAGCCTTCTTCTCAGAAAACTACATGCAGCTTTAAATACTTTCCAAACCTATCCATCAGCACAACAGTTTTTTAAATCCTCAAAGGCAAGTGCTTATTCTTATTTCGATTTTCCAAGACAATCTTCTTTAAATATATGCGAACCTCTGGCCCGCAATAATGGTACAACTACATCCGACTGGAGCGTGATCCTTTGTTGCTATATAGTTTTGGTGCTCACTGTCCAGAGAAACCTTCCTATTCAATTAGAGTACTTGTAAAAAAATATTTCATCTGTGAGGTGAACCAAGGCCAGCTCACAAGCACACCATGCTTCAGCACTGAGCTGATCTTGCACAGAAATTCTCCAAGCCAAAGCAGCACCAGATAAAGTGTTAAGTGTCACATAAAATGATGGCAAGATTCACAGGACATGCCTGCCAAATGAAAGACGTTAAAGATCAAGTCTTCATGACAGAAATGCTTGCAAAGTTTTACATACAAATCCCATTTAGCTGGGGGTTGGGAGGACTCTGAGTTACCAACAGCATCTTGAACTTTGGAAGAACTTAATGAGAAGAATTACCTTTATACAAAATCCATACTCTGCAGGTGCGTTGTACAACTTCTTGCCTGCTATCAACGAGAAGATATTGCTGTCTTCTAGGTCAGCCAACAATTGCAAATGTCTGGGCTCCTGGGAAAATAACATGTTTTATTATAGGTTAAGATTTCGGAAGATCTTGCTGAAAGCTCTGCAGTCCCTCAAGACCAATCTCCAACAGAGGGCAGTGTACGAACACTGCTCATCTCTCGGGCAGCCTGAAGTGGACTCGGCATGCCACCTTCTAAGTATCAGCCTTCTAGCAGAAGATGCTTTATACAAGAAGCTAACAGAGTACTCATTCGAACACATCACATTAAAAATGGTATATCCTATTACATTGCTTCTGAGAAATCTGAAAGTTAGATAATAAAAATATTGTTTAAGGTATCATTTAAAGTAAATTCATGAACAATGTGCTTGGAGAGCATGATTTATCTTGCTGACCTTGTTAGTGCGACTTCAGTAGCCACAATTATGTTGTCTGGCTAGTTTGGTTTTATTATGTAACAATGCTATATAGCTATTTTCATGCATTGAGAGCCCAGGGCTTGATTGTCATGTGATCACGACTTGCTTATCCTTTTCTATGTGATAAAAAAAGGGAACACTGTGTGCAGATATTTAAAAACCAGCAAAAAACACCGACTGCAAAAGCAGAAAATGCTTTCACATGCTACTACTGTGCAACTTCTTTTTTAATCTTACCTTTGAAGTTCCTTTTGTAGAACAATAAAGTCCTGATCTCCTCAAACACACATACAATTTCTTCCATGATTTCCTACCCAGCTCTTTCACATGCAAGAAACCTTGAATTTCAGGGCAGCTACTGGAGTTTAAAAAGTTCTGTTGGAAAGGAATATGTAAATGAAGATTGTGTCCTATGGATGGATCATAAAATTGTCACTGTATTTGTGGAACAGAGAATCAAATGGCAAATCTCTTTGCTGACTTACGGCACAGCTTCACATTATGCTTAACCCGACCTAGATGTTTAAACTGATGTATGACCAAAATGGATATTCCTGCTCCCCTCATTACATCTACCTAGCTAACTCCTCCTGCCACTGATGTTTTCCTGCTCTCTATGTCAATACTTATATCTCGAAAACCATTTCTCCGTATCCCCATTCTTCTTGCACTTGGCCTGAAAGGAGATAAAGTAAGCTTATTCATTTTTAAAATAATACCTTGTCACAACAATTCTGGCAACTAGTCTAACTTGGAAACATTGGCCAAAATCTGCAACTTTATCCTGAAGTTTTAGAATTGAAACAGCCTATTTCAGGATTTCCCACATTAAAGTCTTCTATAGCACATGCACCTGTCCCAAGACAAGAGGTATGATGGACAGAATATTTAACTCCAAATGAAACACAGAGCAGTCAAATAAGTGTCAGCAATTATACTAGACTTCAAGATCCAGAAGTATTTAAGTTCTTGACATAATTAGAGGGACCACATATGGAATAATTTGATTTGAGATACACCAAAGGAGGGAAATATTAACTATGGTTAGCGAATTGATGGATTGCTCCATTATTACAATGGGCCAGATTTTTAAATGACAGAGGGCTTGCTCATTAAGTTAAATGTCAAATTAATCAATTCATAGTAGAAAGAAAAATGCATAAACCTGGTTGGCCTAGATGCCTCTGCAATTCTTGAAAGTTGTGTTTTGGTGTTATTTGGTGGACAATGTCTACAGGAAACAAAGCCAAAAATCAGTGCCCTGGGTCAGAATTCTTAGTTGCGTTAAAACCTGTTTGTTTTTTTTTTTTCCAGTCGTCCTCATCTCATCTCATCTAACCAGATGGAACAGAACAGTCAATTTTCCTCCTTCTTGTACTATGAATCCACTTCTCAACTGTGACAGGGAAAGATCAAAAGGAGAATATACTCTCTCTGTCCGGCTAGATTAAAAAAAAAGTAAACCAAGATGGAAGGTTTTTTGCATATCTGAGCCAAGCTGACACTAGGGAAAACAGATCTAGCTGTTTTTAAGACTAAAAATACCAGCTCTTAATGCAGTACATGATACTGTGAGATGGTATTTAATATTCTTCCCTATTTCGTGTGTAGTTAGAACCAGCGCACTTGCTCAATGTTTGAGGTGGCCTCAGAAGCAACACGCTGAATGATTACTAGACTGCAGGAAGTTTACCTTCAACAAATTAGAACTGTCATTGAAATTATGAAAAATGGTTGTGTGCTTTTTAAAAGGAAAGAAGTATTTAATATAAATGCTTTAAGGAAGATTGGTTTTTATGGTTAAACAATGAGCCAACAAGAATGTACCCATCCCCCATCCTCTCATACTGTTAACCCCCCGTGGACTTATGGTTCTCCTGGACTGTACCTAACTGAGCCTTCCCAGAAGCAAAACTCTCATATCTCACAAGGTCATAAGGTTCTCCCTTCCCTACTGCCTGAGTTAGTCTAGGTTCAAAACTCTGCCACCTTCACGAACACCTTGCTCTTTAGGGAGCCCCACTGTTCTGTTAACAAGCAAACTCCATTCTCCACATACACAGAAGGAGAAAGGGTCCAAGGTGTGAACACCTCTGTTCCTACCAGTCTGTGGCAATGCTCCTTCACACCAGTTTTTGTACCCGATTGCAACTTAATTGCATGTGACTTTCATTTTTAATTCCAGAAATTGGTTTGATTTTTGCTTTGTTTCTCAGCTGAGAGTGGATGGTAACGTTTTAAATTCTTCTCAGTGAACCTGGAACCAGTAGTTAATGGATTTCGAAGTGGCTATGGGACAAAATGAGTGCACTGGTTCAAAAGTTGGTAGAAACTTGTTGTATTTAAAGAGAGTCAGTGCATACTTGCCGACATGAAAAATTACAGAAATCAAGCTAAAATCAGTTATTTGTAGGTGTATTTTCCTCATATATTTGTGCCTTTTGCTTTATAATTTGCCTGTTATTTGTGGTAATGTCTTCCAGACATCACGGTCTTATATTCTTAATACAGTACTCTTTTAATAAACTGTGTTTTTATTTGACCTCATAAGTTGAATGTCCCCCATTTGAAAAAAACAACAAAAGTGAAAAAGATTTAGACTACAGGGTTTAGATTGCAATGCTTGAATTGAGAGGTTTAAGTGAAGGAGTTACTGGTCAGAGAAGTAGCCTACCCTTCAGCACTATCTTTTGAGGCCAACCAACTGTGCCACCACCACAGTTGCGTCACGAGCAAGGAAGAAACCTTACAGCGACATCAAAATTTCAGTATAAACTCTGTGCATGTGCCACTGCCATACAGATTACACGACTCCACCAACACATAGGCATAAGGTACACAGACCTGTAATTTAACTTGGGGAGTTTTAATTGGACTACTTTGCAAATACTACATACAAATTTCTGTAACTACTTGCACTTACTTTTCAGGGCATTATTTTTCTATATAAAGACCAGCTAGTTGGCTGAACCATGGGGAAGTTGGTCCTTATTGTTAATTCTCACCAAGCACAAACATGGGACATATGAAGAAAAAGCAAAACCTCTCACCATCTCAAGCTGATCTTCTAATGTACTAATTTTTACACTTTCTCCGACACTATGATGTGGAGTATAGTAGAGTACTTCTGTTTTGCTTTTTATAAATTATATTTGTTTTTCTAGAAATGTATCTGCCGAGTCTGTGTAGGAACAACACTAGGTGGCCAAACCAGGAACTCACAGAGTAAGTTGAGTATTAATGGAACAAATATGTATAAACATAGCTATATAGGAATACTTTGTGTTTGTAATTTACACCTCAATGCCACTGGGCAACATCTTTGTCAGATATTTTCAACATTAGTGCCATATGCTAACTCACTACACTGGTCTTTCTCTGACCAGCTATTTCCAGACCTTTGAATTATCCCTTCCTTTCTCTCAATCTCTCCCCTCCAGCTCCAAAACCTTCTTTGTCCACAGGCATAATGTACAGTACCTGCAAAAGTTGTGACTGAGGGATACTGCCATTTGTTTGCTGGCACCAGGCAACCATTTGCTCTGGAAAGAAATTCTAGGCACAAAAAGAGAAGACAATTGGAAGTCACATTACGTTTGAACACTTTTAAAAAGAACAAGTGGAATTTTCTTCCGGTCATTAATTTTTGAAACTGTTACTCTTAAATCAAATTGGAGATGCCCTGACACAGAAAGGAATACCAGGGCTTTCAAGTGCCATTCGTCCCTTCCTTTTGCACACCAAATGCCCATGTAGACAGAATGTGGATTTTTACAATCTCTAATATGCAGCATTTCATAAGTGCATTTCCCCTTCCTCTTCTACTGAAGGCTTTTGGGGATTTCTAACAGCCTCTTGCATATTGCATATTCTGACACAAAATTTCTGGGCTTCCCTCTCCGTACAGAAAGGCTGTTCACCAAACAAACTCTTTGTCACTCCACTTGCCATAAGATGCAGAGCAGGAGGAATAAAAGGTTTACTCTACCCTCACAGTGGTAAGCTAGATGCAAATGTATTAAAAGAAGTCTCGGCCAGGCATGCTTCAGGATCTCCAGTAGGTCCACTTTTACCTCTGACAGCACTCTCCTTCTATCCAAAATACAGTTCTTCACTGCTGCATCTGCTTGACCCTAAAACCTGCTCAGTCCCTCAGAAGGCTCCACACAAAGTGCCATTTGCAGACCTTAATTATGAGAAAGAGCTCATTTGTGACTGCTGATGCTTTCATGTGGTTGTTCAATGGCCAGGTTATGCTCAGGGTTGGAAACCCTTCAATCTGTCAAGAGAAAAGCCCTTTCCAAAACCTACCCCTATACGTTTATATTTCAGGGTAATGTAATAGACCCCTGTGTTTTTTCTTGTAAGGATATGCCAGCATACATTCCATGAAATGAAATAATAAAAACTGAATGAGGACGTGCAATAATTAGGCTCTGTGTCGCATGCCCTGCTTCATGTGCTAGATTTGAATAATCTCAAAGCAGACATCTACCTCCTTTCCCCCATTCCACAAACACAGAAGCAAATATTGTTTAACACACAAACAGGTGTTTCTACAGAGCTTTTCAATTGCCAGCATCCGGTACAGTATCTCATTCAGACTGAATCTTTGTATGACAAAGGTCAGACAGTTTTCTAACTGCTAAATCAATGACTTGACTTCAGATTTATTCCTCCAGTTCCGCTTTTCATCTGCTATGTTTTAAAATGTCTATGTAATTTGGTATGCTGAATTTACTATACACAGCAATTAAATTAAGTCATTCTTGAAGTTTTTAAACATTACTTGAAGCATGAAGACATGCAGAAATGCCTGAAATAAAACAATGACTGATTGTAACGAGATGAATCACAACAAAAATACTTCCAGTTTAGAACATTCACCACCCTTCAGGCAATATACATTTCAGTCTTTTAGGGCATAAAGAGAAGGGCTGAAGAAGAATTAACCTTCTGCCAGGTAAGTTGCACAATGAATTACAAAAGCTAACATTTACCAGCCTCTCTTGAGTAGAAACAGTGCCATATGGCAACAGCTAATGCAACGGATAGGGAGCCTTCGCATCCTTACACCAAAAGAATGATTTATTCTCTGATTGCAGGAGCTTGGGACTGAATGCCAAGCATTCTGGGTTTTACTCTTATGCTCTGTTATTTATTAAAGAATACCACATGAAACCAATGTGCTAGCTCCTGCAATACCAAAATTTCTGTACAACACTCAGATGTTCATAGGTTATCAGATGGGAAGATCAACAGAAGTGAAAAATTACAAACACTCCATGTACAGAAATGTTTCACACAGTAAGTCAAGGCACAGCCCTCTGAAACAAGCACTAGCAGATGACAAATGCATGTGCAAGCACACGTGCAAGGATGCAGCAACTGTGCATTAGCGTCTATGAGGAAAGGAATGACTTTATCATCTGCAGTAACTTCAGCAATGAGTTTTCATATGACCACCTGTATCTTTTTTCTCCTGGCACCACAAATGCCCGACTGACCCAAAATCTGCTCTCACCTAAACCACCTCTGGATTATCCTTCTTCAGCTATCTAGGTGGGTCGCATCAGCTGACATACGTTCTTGTCAACAACTCATTCCAACATAATTGTTTAGGTAAAATGTGAAAAACCATTCCCAAATAAGCAGTTACACAGCAAACAGTTTAAAATTACAACATTCAAAGGAACTTACAAATTTGGGAGCAAGTAGCTATGACATACAATATTTTCAAGCACGGATATACACGAGGACAATAGAGAGGGCGAGTTACTGCAATGAGTAAAGAAGGCAGAGCACACTAGTAAAGCACAGCCACAGATGAGACACTGTTCAACATACATAGTGATAAAACTGGAACCTGGAACCTCCTTTTATGTGGTAAGTTCTTTAGGGGTTACCCAGAGGGTTTTTTTTTAATTATTACTGTTGGAAATTAAAAGGTGTGGATACTGCACACTATGCGGTCAATTAGCTTCAAATCAAGTAACTTTGAAGATAACAAGTAAATTGCAATTCTGATTATTTTTCCTAAACGAACAAAGATTTCCCTGTCTTGGTCACTCTCTGACATACCAATAACCATTTTGAAACAAGTGTATTTGGTAACTTGAAAACACTCGAGGTTTTTAGGCTGTGAGGAGAGTACAAGGAATGTAAAAATTGGTTAAAATTTTTTCGTAAAGAATTCTGTTTGTTGGTGGTGGGTTGGTTTTTTTGCGTTGTTTTTTTCTTTTTTTAATTTTTTTTTTCCCCCACATGGCCCAGCAATGTTATTGCAATCCATCCCTCTCTCTGTGGTGTAAATAACTAAGTAATGAGACTCACCATGGGATTTTTGAAAAATTCATATTTTGCATAATTCTTCCTGAACAAAAATTTACTTTCACTTCCCATTGTGGACTCGACTTGAACTATGAGCTCATGATCTTCCAAGCACCTCTCTGTGGAAAAAGAACATGATGTTAACACACAGCCAATCAGCAGAAGCAGCGAGACCAACTTCCAAAAAGAACAGGAGTAAAACACCACAGTATAACTCCATTACTGCTTAAGAAGTTAACAAAACATATTATAGCTTTCAAACGACACTGTCACAAGGCATTTAAAGGAACTAGGGTGTAAGTATTACACAGTTTAACATTACATGGCAGTGCTCTTCAAAGATTTCCTACATCAAGGCTTCATAAGCACAGATTTTTGAGAAATGAAAGAACATTAGGTTTTTTTGTGTGCAGTAGCTTAAATAAGACACACGAAGTACTTCTTTTGGTGATAGCTATATGCTGTGGAACTGGCAAGGTGGACAGATTTAAGGGGAAAAAAGTTGTGGAAAGGCCATTGTTAGGCCTTGAACTGTCACAGAAATACAGTGTCCTATTTGATCACACTCTATAAAACCAGTTCATTTCAAGGTGAACTTAAGGCCTTTATTGTAGATGCTAGACAATGGGGTTTATTATGAAAGAGGTCACAGGATCTACTTTACAGTAATACTGACAGAGACAAATGTTTTGTACACATGACAGGGCAATTTTCTGCTCTAGATTTGGTTACAAGGTAACTCCCCATAACCACCAGTTCTCTGGTCAAAAGAATAGCACATCAAAGCATGAACAGACAACAAATCCAATTCACTGAAAGCAGTAACTCAAAAGAAGGCAACTGGGCTAAGCGTGCACTACTTAATGAACTAGCTTGGCAAATCTTCAAAAGTTTCTGAGATAATATTTAGATATTTTTCAAAAGTCTTAAATAGTCAGTACATTCATCCCTGATATAACGGGAAGTAAAAAATGAGGTTAAACAAAAAACAACTTTTGCAAAGCTCTGTCCAAAACGCGTATGACTTGCTGGCCAAAGAAGCCTGGAGAGTCCCTTCCCCACTTCGTGTTCCTGCATCCTTGCATTCACACAGTCAGAAATGCCAGGCTGCCGCCCAAGTTCTCTTGGGGTATTTTCAGGATAGAAGGCAAGCAGTCATCGGTATAAAAAAAGCAGCAAGTTATTTGATTGAAAATTTAACCTATCACTGAATGATCCCATTGTCTTTTTCACCTGCATTTAGATTGTCAGTCATCACCAGCTCACTGATGACTTCAGCATTTACTGTGCGCTTGCAGTGTCCAGCCTTGCTACAGATTGTGTTTCAAGGGGTTAACGCTGAAGATTTTTCCATACTGGGCTGCTCTCAAATAAAGAGCTGCTTCTTAGTGCACTAGTCATAACACCACTTTTATGGGGTAGCTCTTCAACTAATGTATGCAACAACACTGCTGTTGTAACAGTTAATTAAGGACATTTTGCACCACCTGAGCACTCATCACCTAAACCTCCACATTATCAAGGGGCTTCGCAGGTGAAGTTTCAGGTATTGCTGCTTATCTATTGCTACTGCCATGGTTTTTGGCAACCAGTTAAGTCAAATCTCATCCACACTGTGATAAGGACAGTGAGCCTAGGACGGTAGAGGGCCTTTCTGTTTTTAAAATTATGCTTCCTATAAAAATTGAATTACGTTGGTATGAATCTTCATCAAAGTATGAACCCTCAAAGACCATGTGTCTTGCTCTTGCATGCTTCTGTCATCACACGAAGTTGTGGTCTTTGTTTTCCTAAGGCACTGAAGATTGCTCACCTAAGGGCAGGGACAAACCACATCCTGTTCATTCTGTCCTCAGGAAATGCAGTAGGGATGAACACTTGTCAATTTGTTTTGTATTTTGATCATTTTTTTTGTACACATACACCCAGTGGCTGTTTCTTTGATACTTTACACAACTGATCTAGATGTATCTCTTTAATAAATCAAGACTCTCTTGAAATTCTTTGGTGGTACTCCCACTGATTTAATGCTTACATTTTGATTTTGATGGTGAAAGTCGTCTTGAAGAAAAGTTGCAGCATTTTATATCACATGCATGTAAAATGGAAGCTAGTCCTGGTCAGTTTGCTACTACTTCATAGAAGTTGTATGTTTGGGAAGTCCTTGGCAATTTGCACTCGGTTAGTAGAAATGGGATGAACTGCCACTTGACACACCAGCAACTCAGCCTCAGCCCTGCTTTGAGCTTCCTGATGCAAAATCAGAAGCACAGATATTGGTCTATTAAGTTCATTAGGTTAGTCTGTCTTCAAGTGGCACTACTGCTGAAATAACCAGACATGTCTGGACTCAGTCTCCTCTACATACTTCCTAAAAGAACAGGATAGACTCTTCTTTTTTTCCCAAAACTGCCCTGTATTTATTAACTAAACTTCTACAGAACTGCATAAGTGATACAAGATGGGAAAAGGAGCTGGATTCCATCATGAACTAAATGATCTTTACGGTCCTTTTCAACCCAGGCCAGTCTATGACTTGTGACAATGAACATTACAGACATGCCCCAAAATTCTCAACTACGAGAATCACTACAAATTACAGGTAGACTGAAGTGTGAAATAGCCTGCCCTCTTTTCATATTGCAGCAAGCACTGTGTCTAACTGCTCCACTTTTAATTCATTCAGGTTAAGACAAATCAAATTCAATGCACGTGTAAACAAGAAAATCTATGCACAAAACTTCTAACCCTACATACATTTCAGAGCTCTACTACTTTTCTGCTTCAACTATATTATGTAAGACGTACAGACAATTCTGGAGCTGGAAAAATGAGGTTTGCAGGTAGGGATTCCTTCAGTGTCCAGACACATACTATCATGACAGTCTGTCTTCATCCTTACTATTATTTCTGCTAATGCCCAATACAGGTATCTCAGTCCCCATCTTAAATTTATGATAGTTAAGCATGAAGTAGCACATAGGGAGAATACCACATTTTATGAACAGGTTAGGTGTATTTCTAGTTGAAAATGAAATAACAGGACAAATTCAAGTTTCATAGACTGCTTAAATCTTGACCACAATATGTTTTTAGATACTAGTGGTACACTTTAGCAGGAACCATTTCCATGTGTCAAATCTAAGCTAGTCTGACAGTAAATTGTCACACCATTGCCTCAAGTGAGAACACAAATACTTTCTGTAGTTCAACAGCTGTTTGAAGTTATTTGCAAGCACACTTTTTTTTGAGATACTCTTCAATACGTGCGCAAAGTAAGCTATCAGGTGAAGGTTCCTTAAAAACTGGGACCTGGAAGATCACCACAATGATAATATGCAGCTGGCTTCAAAAATGTGCTCTTGTCCTCAGTCTGCCCAAAAGATGAATTGGTTCTGCAAACTGAGCTCTTTTGGAAAGTAATATTAGGGAAGACTGGGGAGGGGAGGGGGGAAGACTGTGAAGTTAAGGAAAGAACTCGCCTCTTTTGGTGGGCTTCAAGATTACCACCTACAGCATTAAGTCAGCAAGGATGTCTTGAGTAAGAAATAACGTCTTCTGGAAACACAAAATTCTCACTGCTCTTAAGCCATATTTCTTTCCACACTTCTAAGTATCTATTCACCATTGTTTCATACTTCTACTAGCAATCTTCTTTCTCAAGGGAAAAATACGGAACATCAGACACCTGATAATAACTTCACCTGAGGTGCAAAAAGATTACTCCCTTGATCTGACAGTCCCTGAAATGTAGGGAAGCATTTAAGCTACTGAGCTATGTAAGTAGCCAAAAAACTCAAAACTGCCACCAAAACTGGGTGGACACATGGAAGCTGGCATTTAAAGTTCATCGAATATGTCACAGTGTATACTTTGGTCTCCAAAGACAAGAAACTGGATGTTGTTGTCTCTTGAACTCTTTTACTCCCTTTTCTGACTGCATCCTTTCAAACATGTGAAATTTGGATAATTACCTCTTTTTTTGACACTTTAAATACTTTCTTCTGTCTCTGTTCACTTCGCACCCTCAAAGGCTGCATAACATTTCACACGGATCTACTGCCTGGCCTACAGAGGACATCCCCGGAGCTGTCCCTGGAGAACAAAGTTTGGTGGCTGCTGAAGCCCCAACCTGCACACTCCATTTCTCTGGGACAGCTGGGCCCCGCTTTGTGCTTCAGTGTGAAACAGAGGTCCAAGGCAGGCAGGTCCCCATGTATATAAAAGCAGCCCGAGAAGTATCTTGCTCTTTTCCCATCATTGTTAATTACCAAGTTATTTGTGTGTAAACAGAAGCTTTTGATTTCCTAATCAGCCTCCTGCCCGATTCATTCAGAGATGTCACACACCAGAGTTTGACAGCACAATTAGTCACCATGGAAGCTATTGTGATGTCACAAACACTGAATTGTGGCATCATTGAATGAATCTGGCAGGAGAAGGATGTTGGTTACAAAGGAGAAGGCTTCTGTTTACACAATACCTTGGTAATCAGCAACGATGGGAAACAGAATATAGAAAAAGAGAGCCTGGTAGTTTAATGAGCATTGCTAAAACTGAAAATTTGGAAAGGTTGTTCGAAGCACACATGTGGCATATTAAGCCATGGAGATAAAGTTCTGTAATTTATACCTCGTCCTATATCTTCAGAACTGAAAGTATATCACAGGCATATACAAAAGTGTGGTTTATTTTTTTTCACATATTTCTATATTAGGAGAGATACCCAATAAAACCATTAAATAATCAGGATATTCTATGAGGTGTTTTTTTTTTGAGTGTTATTCTGTAGAGCAGTGAATTTTTCTGCATCTAACAGTATCAGTTTAGGGCATTACATTTCCAGCAAATTACTTCCTTTTCTTATTTGTAAGGGTTCTGAATTACATTTTTAGACATAAAAAACCTCCGTTAGCTACAGATAGCATTCACAATTCCAGTCCTGGTGATCACAGCTTATGATTGTTTTTCTCTGTTTTCTAGAAAAAATTCCCCATGAAGTGTATCCACTAATACTTCAAATGCTACACTTTCTAAACTGTTGTTGTATGCTACGTAGAATTCTAGGTAGCGTATCTGAGTGATATGCAGTTGCAAGCTGCAGAAGCCTGCAACTAATCAGCGCCATAAAATAAGAGGAAAAACAAGAGTGAATAACATGAGATCCTTTCAGATACTGTAATTAAACCAATTCACAATATTACTTAATTTCCCACAGTTCTTCCTCTTGCTGCCTTCTTAAAACTGTAACCATGACACCTTAATTTCAATCAGGTGGGGGAGCTGCTGCCTGGAGAGCAGATGCCACCGCTGGTCCAGAAATTGCCCATGGATTTGCAGGTGGTGCCACCATTTTTTCCCTGCCTGAAGTCAAGTTTAACCAACCCCCTCCCCCACCTCAGCATGTCTAGCTTTCATAAGCATTACTGTAGGTATGCAAAGCTGAGTCTGTTCACCCAGGTCTCCCAGCTGGTGATGAGATGAGCTGTTTCACAGGACCGGTACTCTAAGGATCAAGCTTAATTTGCCTAAGCTGTTTATTTGCAATAGCTTCAGACACAGCAAGGTAGCAACAGAGCGCTCGTGTGAAGATGAGACAGTTCTTTTTTACAATTTAAAAAAACAGAGGATAGGAAATAAGAGAAGGACTTAAAATGGCTTAAATGCTTAACACATCAAATTGCAATACACAAAAAGCACGTATGTGACTTCAGCTAATTGTACAAATAAAAGCAGTGGAAAGAAAAGGTTCCGTGTGGAAGCACATTAATACCAATTACACATATTTTATGTTCCCAGGTAACCATGCCACCCCTTTGACCATTCCCTACCTAATCCTAGGTGAGGGTGATGCTCCACTAGAGTCCAGCTGTTATCATCCACACAATGACTTTTGTAAACGAGCAGCTGACAGAGGTCCCTGGCTGTCATGTCTGCTAGAATCTCGACCACTTTGCTTGTTCCATCTTCACTAAAGACTTTTACATCCTGCAACATAAAGGGTACACTTACAGATCAACAGCTCTGAACATATGCAAACCACACAGCTACTGTAGAAAAGCATCCTCTTGGTGTGACCGTTCCTGGCTGCCAAGGTGCTTGGACAAATGACATCATGGATGATTCACTTTATAACACTTTCTCTTGATGCCCCCTTGCCCTATTTCCCCTCCCCCCCTCCCCAACACCTCCCTGCACTAAAGAAAGATTCAGCAGGGTTAATATGACCACATACACAGAGAAAGTGAGAAAGCAGGTTGCGGATAAAGCTGCATAAGGTAAGCAAACGTGAAACAATATTGAGAGAATACTTCGGCAACAGTGGGCGAGAAAAATTACATCCAATCACACACTATTTTCTTTGCGATCCCATCAGAGGCCTCCGAACATTTACAGAGGAGCAGGCCAAGACCCCGAAGATTAAAAATGGCTCTCTTGTTCCCCAGTAACTTTTGATTGTTTCGCCCGGGGAAGTCCCACTTGCAGTTCGCCGGCGGATCAATTAGCTAGCACAGTCCACACATTTCTCTCCCTGCCCCAACTTTCTCTTTTGATACGAGCTTGAAAGTAGTTTGAAACCAAACGTGCATAAGCTGCACATCCTAAATATAAATGGAGATGAGAGAACAAGTCAGGAACCTTCTCCCCACCTCCTGAATCATACAGATGCTTTCCTCTTTGCATTGTTCTGCTCAAGAGAGAAAGACACTTGCCACAAAATTATTTCTCTGGGCAAACGCGCAGGTCTGAGATTTAAATCAGCTCCTCCACGTTTAAAATGCTCTGCATCCTCGCAAGAGAAGGCCAATCTAACAAAAACCTGGGAGGGTAATTTGATATGGAAAATCTTACCTCAACGGCACGTAAAAGGCAGCAGTCGGAAGAACAAGATGGCATTTTAAATAGAGATTGCCTCTTGAGAGAGAGTTTGTTCTCTGCCTCCGCCGACCCTTTGTAGCCTATGGCTGGGCGCCCGGGGTGCCGGCGGTGTCCGCAAAGTACCGTACCTGTCACGTAGCCCCTGCTATGGGGACTGTTTCTGGGGAGGGAAACAACTCTGCCAGAGCTCCACTCAAAGGGTTACACGCAATCTTTGCGGTAGTGAATCAAACCACACCGTGTAGACCAATCCTAGCCCTCCCTCCGACTGATGTAATCATTTCCCACACACTATCAGACTTCCAAATTACTCCCGCCCCTCTCCCCCCACC